CATTCTTACAACTTATTGATTAGCAGAGGGAAGCTACACCCAGAAAATAGTAATACTACTTTTTTAATATTTCAGTGAAGAAGTGTTTAGAAAATAAACAATGTAAATGAATTTACCTTTATCCATTCTTCTTTATCTTGTTCAGAACTGAAATAAATATTTGACACATTAGTACAAAACAAGTTAAGGAGACATTATCTCACTATCAACAATTTCTTGCAAAAGCCAAGCTTCTGAAGTGATGGTTTAAACAATACTAATTGTTAACTGTGCCAATTTAAAAAAACATAACATAACACAAAACAGAAAACAAAAGCACACTTCAGGCTTCACAAGTTTGCAGTCCCTAAGCAGTAAATTCAAGTAACATCACAGGCTCTTTGAAAGTGGCCTCCTCCTTGGGTAACGATGTGGAAAAAAACCCTGTAGTCACACAGTATCAGCCATGCAAAATTTCATTTCTCTATGGATTTCCATGAAGCATGTGAAAGACAGCTTTCGTAACATCTCAATAAAAATGGCTCCTCACTTTTTTTTCAGTATGTGTACAACTTTTAAGCTAGTATAATCCTCAACAAGTGTTTCCCCTTCCCACCTACCATCTGAATACAAGGCAGAGGAAACCTGTCTAAACAGCCAAAATAATTCTCCCTACTTGCTTATATTAAAAAATGAAAGCTGAGCTCTTAAATGTTGCACCAGGTCAGCAACCTCCCAAAGAAAAAATCTACCAGCTGTTTAAAACCAAATGTACTCAAATAGTATTGTGAAAAAAAACATAGAAGACTACTAGTAAAGAAAACCCCAAGGGTAAAATATCATTAAACACTGTTAATACAAGTTTATGAATTCAGGGCTTTAAGATATAGGGCACATACAATACTCATACATCAATCAAGAGTATTCTAATATAATTGAATATGATCTTGTGCGGTACTTATTCCATCACAATTTTGTACAGACAACGCATTCTAAAGAAGTTAATAACACAGAACACATAAGCATGTTCTTCTTACACCTAAAAGTAAACTAACGTACTAAACTTTCCATTATTGGTAATACAGGGACGTTAACAAAATACATCTATTTTGTTGTATCATTTTTCTTTCAATTACAACATTCTTCTCAAACAGTACAGCAAGATGTCATCTGTCATTGAAATGGCTATATGACATAACAACTTGCAAAATACTGAGCAAGGCATCACACAGGAATTTGTAGTAGATATGACTGATAATAAAAAAACATGCCCCAGAAGTCTTGCACCTTAGTGGAAAGGTTTTTCCTGTCCTTTTTCAAAGTAGATACTTCATTTCAAATTCAATGGTAGTGTAGGTAAATTTCTCTATGCTGTTATAGAACAGCAAAAGGAGAGATGGAACACCCTACTTTACTTGAAGTGGGGCAGCCTAGACAGGGGAGGTTTGTCTAGGGTATGGAAAAAGCAGCAACAGGAAGGTAAAGCAACAAGAGGACCAAGAAAGAAAGCAGAAAAGCACCAGTCAGAAGAGTGCAAATGGAGGAGAAGGATGCTAGAACTAAGAGAACACGCCTTTCAGGGTGAAGTTGCTACCTGGGACTGGAGGAAAATAAGTAGACTAACAGAAGGTCTGAGGAATGGAGGAAAGCAGGTGCCCATCTAGCACTGTAGTAAATGATGTCCTGTGGACGTAAACTCACCAAAGTGGAGAATTTTGTTGAGTGCACATGCCCTAAGGTGAACAGACCCACTTGTACCAAGGTGGCTCAGGTACCAGCAACACTGCTCAGAGTTTAAAACATTCAGTGTCCCAAAACACCACCATCAAACTGATTGTCTTTGTACCCGTCAGGTATGTGGGCCCATTCACAGCTATCTTAGGTGCTTCGGCAAAGCAAGGCAACTTGTAGACACATCCTCTGTTTCAAGAGATTCTTGGTTTGATAATGTATGGCTTTGGCAGCCTAAACTATTTTCAGAACACTCAAATTAAGATGAAGCCCATTGCATTCTACTCCAAATCTATCAGTCCACTCTTTCTGTGTATACTTAATCTGCCAAAAATCAGACAAAAAGACTTTGCTTACCTGGCCTGCAACTCCAGTGTTCTCTCTTTTCCAGACACTTGAAAAGTGTGCGGATATTCTTCATTATGAGTTTCTATAATCTTCATGCCATCTATGCCGACTCTGGTTCGAACTGAGAACTTTGATCCTACCAAGCTGAATTTGGGGACGCAGTAGAGCAACATATTGTTAAACTGGGGGGAAAAAAAAACAAAACAACAAACAACAAAAAGCACATGGCTTTGTGTTAACAAAACCACAGATTGAGAGATCTGAGATGATATTGCAAAGCTGGACTATGTTCTTTCCTGCTCAGTTGATATATGAGAAGACCAAAGCTCTCATGAAAGACAACTTCTTTTTCTTATTTGTTTAGAAATAAGACTAAGGGACAGCTACAGTGGATCTAAGAATAACTGCTCTGTGTGGGCAGCAGTCTTCATAGCATTTATTACCAACTATACTCAGACTTGATATTCCATACCATTGTAAATCTTCCACTAGAAAAAACCCCACATTCTTCTGCCTCAATTCTGAGAAAATTAAATGGCAGAATAGGAACTCTTTTCCTCAGTGTACACATTTATATTTACCCTGTACGAAAAACACTGGTTTTGTAGAAATTGTAACTAATATAATTTGAGGACATTATTTGTCTTTTCTCCGAGATAGAAGAGTATTTCTGTCTTACAGCTTTTATTCACTGAAACTCTCAATATCACAAGGAATAAAATAATGCAAAAGCAGGACAAAGATATATTCATTTATTAAAAATTTGAACTTTAAATAATTTTTCAATGTCTAAAGCCCCTGCTTAGAAGCACCATTATTAGATCTGTAGTTTTCAATTTTCTCACTTTTTTTCCTCTCACAATTAATTATTAAAAAGAGAAACTCACTTCAGTTAAATCATATTTCACAGAAATGCTGTCTAGCCTATTCTCTAGTCTGTATCACAGATACAAAACACTTGAACTTTACACCTCTCATATGAGGCGCACATCATTTTAATCAGCTGTCTAGCCCCATTTCAATTCTTCCTATTCAATGGTTTCTCCTTTTGTTTGAAGTACAGATAAGCAAGAATTGTGTTTCAATAACCTGTTACTGGTCTCTATTAATCAGAAGACATGCAATGCCAGAGGCTCATGTGAAAAAATGAATGAGCAATCTCTAATGCATGGGAAGCAATGAACTACATCAAACCTTTTCCAAGGGAGTCATAAGGGAGCATGACTCTAGTTTGAGAGTTCCAAGGCAGGACACAGGCACCTAACAGGAGGATGACCTGCCTTGATAACAAGCTCCCACAGGGCAATGAGAGTTACTGGACCCCAACATACACAATCCATCAGGACTAAGTTCCTAAGCTTTTATATTTCAGTTTCATGAGAATGTCCAAGTTCTTATGTTCTAGGACCTGCATTTAAAATCAGCCATCACTTACATAAAGCGAGTTACTGGACACTGTTTCCATTTATTTAAACCCATGTATTCTGTTCTAAATGGCATTTGCAAGCCTTTCTGTCAGCAGTATAAGGTTTTCTCATGCTCTAGTATCACTAGTGGAAAGGCATTGAGATCATCTAGAGAGAATTTCTTTCTCTCTCTCTTTGGTAGTGCTTTTAAGTTTAGAAAGGTGTGCAGCCACTCCTGCAAACACAGGCCACTACACTTACTAGGAAAAGATACCGTTCTTGAGCAGATGTATTGCGAGCAGCGAGTTTAAGGATCTGTCCTTCTTTTATCAGTTCATTTGAAGGGTTCACGATGTCTTCCTCTTCTCCCAGCATCTCATATATCTCTAACAATTTCTTTAGATTCTCCTTTACAATGAAAATACAGTTATAAAAATGTAGTTAAAAACACAGATCTTTAAGCATGTTTAAGTAAAAGGATGAGAGTTTGTCTAAGTCTGGAGAGCGTTTGCTTTTAAATATATATATATATAGATATGTATTTATATTGAGAGTAGGTATGGTCAGCCATACAGACTGATTAAGTTAGTTTATATAGTAACAAATACTCTTCAAAATATTATTCTCTGTGGTAATTTTAACAATGCAGTTATACATACTTAATAATTATTAATATGAATATGTATAATGAATAATTATACATAGTTAATAATAATTAATCCATAATTAATGGATCAAAACTGGAAGAGGGGAGATGTAGGTTAGGCATTAGGAGGAAGCTATTTAGTGTGAGGGTGGTGAGACACTGGAGCTGGTTGCCCAGAGAAGCTGTGGAAGTCCCATCCCTGGAAGTGTTTTAGGACAGGTTGGATGGGCAGCCTGATCTAGCAGAAGGTGTCCCTGCCCAAGCAGGGGGGTTGGAACTAGATGACCTCTAAAGTTCCTTTCAATTCAAACAATTCTATGATTCTATGTATCTATGATAGAGTCTACATTATTTCATGTCCAAAATACCTCACATACTTAATGAAGTACCTATCCTGCCAGCCCCATAGGGTAGAGAAACAGTAACTACTCTTTACAAACACATTATCTTCCCACTGTCAGAACCAGATGAAACAAGGTTAAGAGTCTGGCACAGTGTCAGCTATTGGAGCCAGGAGAGAAACCCAGTCTGTGCCATTTTCCACTTAAGAGAATTAGGTGCAATGCCAGATTTTGTGTATCATTCCCATGAGCTATTTAAATACATTAAGAAGAAGCCATCACTTGGACACGGGAAACCCATTTTGGCCATTTTAGGGAAGGTTTGCAATTCATACTCCTAGGTTCACAAAATACTCAAGTGTAATCTATTCAAAAAGTGAACAGGAAAACAAGAACAATTTACCATTTTTCTTATTGCACTATTCGAGTGACTTGCTGCGGTGGATATAATTTCCAGGGATTCTAGAGAGAATAAAAAGAAAGTAAAATCAAAAAGCTGCATTTCTACATATTAATATATTACGGGGGGGGGAAGTTCATTGTACAAAATTGTAATTTTTAATATAAATTACAAGCTACAATATATTTCTTTAATTATTAGTAAAAAGTAATGAAGGTAAAGTGGAAAGCATAAGAAAGTCAGCTAACGAAAAGAAATCATCATCTGGAAAGATCATGAGAGCATTATTGCTGATTACTTTACAGCTTCAGCACTTAATCACATTTTTTGTGACATGAACAGTCATGATTCTCTCTCTTCCTTTCTCAAAGTGGTCCAAAATGTCAAACTATGTTTTTAGTTGAAGGAGCTCATACTACAAATATTTACTGTAATGATACTAACAATGAAATATTTTTAAAAAATAAATTATCTGAACAATCCATGGAAGTATCTTGAACTGTTCTTGTGTAAATACAGAGAGGAATAAATTTTAAAATGGTTTGGAGGTTGTTTTTTTTTTCCCTAAGCTTAAAAATACCATGATGTGTCTAACTCCACTTTTTTACAAATAAGAGACATATATTCCAAATGTGCATAAAGCTAATCAAAATGCCAACACAAACAAACAAAACCCAAAAACACACCACAACCCCTGAACATCCTCAAAGCAAACAAACCAAAACCCATGTGCTATTCCAAAACTAAAGCAAAAGTTATGTGCTCCAGGAGAACACTAAAGGTTTTACAGTTTTTTTATTAACTTCATACACTATTCAAACAGATACTTTTTTCAAAGAATCCTCTAACTCCACTGAAAAAAGTGTCATTCTTTTCAGAGGGACTTTGCTTGTTCTCTTTATTTTTTCCTGAAAATATCTTTCATTTACACTATCTTCTTACTAACACCTTACTACAGCTCTTTTAATGGCTAGAAGATATTTACTTTCAGCATCTTTCCAGTCTAGAGAATCCTGAGGCAATTTCCTTAGGTAGTCCTTTAGAAGCATCTCGTAGCGTGGAATGCGTTGCACAGGTTCTAGCATGTGATGTTGCAATGTCAAATTTCCACATACTTTTTCCTTCTAAAAAATTGTAAACATATTTCAATGTAGTAGGCAAAAATGTTATTAGGAAATAGTAAAATAAAAGTTATGATTGAGCAAACATAAATAATGTATTTTGAAACATACATGATAGACCTTCTGAAAGAAAACTGGACTAATTTATGGAACCAAATTTAGAAATTCTTTCCTAAAAATAATTGTAAAAAGAGTTTTCTAACCATCCAGTAGAATTCACAAATAAACACCCTAAAAAAAAGAAAAAAAACCTACCTTCTAGACTCCAGTATATTTTATCTTAGTTTTGCAATAACTCAGAAAAAATAATCAGAACTAAATTAATAAGAACAATTGTTAAAATTGTTTTCTAATATGTGGTCATGAACTGTGTAGCCCATTTATCTGAGAAGGGAATGTTTCAGGTTTCAGTCATAATGTAACTCTCCTCAGAAGAGTTCTAAGATGCCTGTGCATTGGCATAATCTCAGATGTAATTTTAAAAATTCATTAAAATACATACAGTTGTCTTCCTTGGCTTAGAATCAGAAGACCCTACCGAGCAGTACCATTAAAGCCTTAACCTTCTTCCAGCTGCTCAGTCTGCAGTAGAAAGACACACATCTGCCAATTCAGAGAGAAACCTACAGGGAGCACTAGAGGGTATTAAAAGCACCTTTGAAAAGAACGGTGAATTGCTTAACTGTTAAGCTTTCTCTACCCTTTGTGGCTCAGGATTTAGGATCACTTACTTACAAAGTGCAGTGCTCTGGGTAACAGCACTGGTATGAGCCAACAGAGTACTTACGGATTCAGCGCAAGGATCTGCAGTTGCACTGAGAAACAGTGTTAACTTTGGGTGTCTATGACAAAATGTAGTATTTTTCTATACTTATCATGTTTCAGCCTTTTCATTTGGTCCTCTATGTTGCACTGGAAAGGATGGATTTCTGTGGGTACTTGTGAACATGTGAAGGGAGAGGGAGGTGAAACAGAATGGTGTGTGAAGCAGACAAAATTAAGAACCCTTAATTCTAAGGGATTTGGTATTTAATTTTCTCTTTAATCCTTTTTTTCCACCTGCAAACCTACATATGTCTATACATGCTTATAGTACTTTGAGATCTACACTATTCCCCCCATTACCTGAATGTCTTGAATAATGAATTTGAATTGAGGTGACCGTTCAGTCCACGTTTTCACCAATTCCATTGCGTTATCAAAATTCTTCACATACTCTCCATACATCTTGAGGAAAGGAGCTAACTTTTGCAGAATATCTCCAATTCTGGGGGTGGTAGTCCTGCAAAGCAAGAGGGTGGAATCTCAAGGCAAACAGGAAAGAAAAAAAGTCACACAAGGCTATAAAACAGAGTCAAGTGTTTCAGAGAATCCTTTTGTTTGGGCTCACCTCACACAGTTTCAACATAACCATTAAAACTGACCTGAGTTAATATGGAAAGATTGTTTGTATCCTCTTGGATCATGAACAAGCATTTTAGTTCATGTAGAGCACTACAGAAAGAAAAGCCATCTACAATTAAAAACTTAAACAGCTTTATTTACAAAACATGGCCTGTTTTATTTTATTTGCAATTCCTTAAAACTGTATTATCTATCTTCTTTTGATCATACCTTATGCCCTAAATATCTAACCTGTGGTTTTATTTGAGGATTAAATCCATACTGTAAAGCTTCACTTCTCCACCTTAAATAAATACATGCATTTACAACTTCTTAAAATCGTTGTTTATCTAAGAAAACATATGAAGTGGAGAGAATCCCTTGGATTCCAGTCTTTTGTGAGAATTTGCCCACATCTTTCACAATTACTGATAGTATCTTCAAATAAAACAGAATAGTAAAGAAACTGATGGAGAGTCAGAGTCAGCTACACCCCAGATGCACACAGAGAAAAGGGAATGGCACATATGCATCTCCAAGAACTACACTACGAAACACATTTCACATCTCATGGAATCAATCCTAGAATCATAGAATATCAGGTTGAAAGGGATCTCAAGGATCATCTGGTCCAACCTTCCTTGGCAAAATCCTGGTATAGACAAGACCCTGCCCAGCAAATTTTTAAAGTGTGCAGTGTTAAAGGAATCCATCACTTCCTCAAGGAGATTATTCCAATGGTTGATTGTTCTCATTTTCAAGGACAGATCCAGAAATCAATGTGATAATGTTCTACCACAGCTATCAGCAGTCTACTCTAACACACCACTTCTTCAAGAGAAAAGCTGTGCAGAAAGGAAAAGCTATTTCTAGAATAACAAATATTGCCAAGACTGACAAAGGCTGGTCCAGCTCTCTCAGGAAGGGGAAGAAGGTACCTGTCTACAACCTTTCTATTGTTGGGCCTGGCAACTAGAGAAGGGGACAAGACAGGGTGGGAAGTTGGTCTCTGAAGGCACCAGGGCTCTGCACCCTTAATTAGCTTCACATATTTTTCCAACCACTCTAAATGCAAGCAGACACACTTTCAAAGGCAAGCCAGAAATTTAAAACAAAAACATTCCTTTGATTCACTGAGTGCTGTTTCCCTGAGTTGTCCCTTTAATGTAGCAGCATTGAAAATAAAATACAAATCATGCCAGTTCCATCAGAACTGAAGAAAACATTGATCCATTTATAAAGGTCACCAGAAAAAAACCTAACAAAACAGACATTAAAGTTTTCTGATAAATTTAACAGATAAGTAATTATTATATTTTGCAATTAAAAAAACTTTAAGGAGAAAAGATGGTGGCAGCCCTTTTTATCTAAAGACACTGGGACAAAATAGAATACTTCTACTTAACTTTTTCCAAACTATTGCCAGAGAGACATTAAAAGAAAATGTTAAAACTTTTATTAAACCAGGAACTAGGAACAGTTTGCTATGCCTGCTCCTTGGATACACTGCAATGTCATTGTCTCTGAAGACAGAAAAATTTCACAACTGTTTTTCATGGAAGGCCCTGTTATGTCCAAAGAGTGAGGCTGTAAAAACAGTTCAGTAAGAAAGCCAAGGTCCACAGGGCACAAAGAGCTCTTGTAAACTAGGAAGGACAGAGAAAGTCACAGAAAGCAGAACCTGCTGACAGCAGCATCCTTCCTTGATGGACTTAAAACTATAGATAATTAGTTCATCTCATATTCAAACACTACATACCGTGAGCCAAAATATGAAGTTGTACTAGATGCCATCAGGTCCAGGACAGTTACTGTTGTCTTGGATAGACAAATCAGAAAGAGAACTATTACCATGGACCCAAATTAGCACTGCACTATTGCTAAAAAACAAAGCATCATTAGGTGGACTTCACATTGTAATGTAGGTACAGAAACACTTTGTATTCTGTGTCGTCAGACCTCGATGGTATTCACATTTGCATTCTAAAAACTCAAACATGAAATAGCTGACTTACTAATCATTATTTCTAGCATCTCATTTGAAACTGTCATGGCTACAAGAAAACTAAGCGAAGGTATGTAAAATCAGAGCACAGTGATGGCAACTACAACACAACTACTTTCTCTCCCACTATACAAGCTAACAGGCATCCAACAAAATTGAAAATTGAAGTTTCAAAGCAAAACAAATCATAGGAGTAGGTCTACTCTGCACTCATCTGTAATTGCCACAGATGGCAAAAGTTTGTGTTGAGGGAGTGAAATAATTTTTTCACCACCAGCCCTTCTCCCCCTAAGGCTATCACACTGTGTTCCTGTATCCTTCCCCAGGTATTTGCTATTTGTTGGACACAAGAGACAGAGTTAGATAGGTGTTTTGTTTGATGTAGGATCAATGCTATGCTTTCTTATGCTCTTTTCACAGGAAATAAATTGCAACAAGGCTGTTTCCAGTGTTTTCAAAATTTATGTTGTAAAACAGAGATTCAGCTCCAGCTGTTGCTCAACTTATTCAAAATGCAACTACCAGACAATTTCATTTCTACCCAATAAACTTAGATTCACATCTGACTTTCCTTCTAGGAAAGAAGAATCTGCTTCTTATCAGGTTTCCCAGTTTGGAAAAAAAATAAATAATAATTTTTAAAATGCATTTTTACCTTAAGTTTTCAAAACAACTCAGGGAAAGTGTCAGAAGTTCTTATCCAGCTAGTTTTACTGGAAACTAAAGAACAACAGAAGTGCATAAACCTTCTGATAGAACATACTTAAGTATTTTCCATGTCTAATTATAGGAACTGCTGAGGGAAGTGAACTCTACCTGTTGTTTCAGACCGGTGATGGGGAAAGAAAAATATCCCAGATTTTTCTTTCAGTAGTGACCAGAAATTTTTGTCTTCAACTGTACCCTTCCTTCTAACTCCTCTCAAAAGCATAATGTTTCAAGGACATTTAAATAGGCTGTGTCAGGTACAGCACAGAGGTTCTTTCCAAGGAATGCGGGAAAGAATCAATTATGATGCAATTGATTAGTTTTGCACTAATGAATCAAAGCTCATCTGAAGATTCACTTGTCAAGCTTTGAAACTATGTAATTATATGCATATTATTAGTGCGCAATTTAACATTTTACAAATACACAAGGTACTGCAACCCATTTTCTGTGCTCTATAAAGTGTCTAGAGCAAAATTTTAAGAGCACATCACAAATCTCATGTAAAATACATACAGCACTGACATAATGTAGTGTAAGCTGCTTTTCGAAACATCATTACAGTAAGTTAAACTCCACATCCCATGAACATGCACTATTTTAATCCAGATATTCCTCCTTCTTATCAGATTTTTTCAATTTATTAGAAGAAAAGGGTGGGTTTACCGTACACAGTCATTCTGCAAGGAACATAAGTTAAGGTGTAAACTTTCCTGTACTTCATGCTGCTTATGCGTTATTTTCTCGCATTATAGACTACGTAGAACTACCATGGGTTTCTGCATGGTAACTATTCTATTTTAAATAATCATCAATTTAAAGGGAATCACCTTACAGGGTCAGGAGATATATAGCTGTTGTCTAATGCACCTCCATGTGGTCTGAGATTTTCACATATGTCACAAAATTTTTTTCTCCATTTATAGTGAGGTTTTTTTACAATTAGGGTGTTACATGAAAGTGAAACTGGAAATGATACGCAAACTAACACTTGAATCCCTCATAACAAACTCTACATAACATGGTATGCGGGAGCTAAACAGGTGCTGAAGTGAAACAACTGGATGGAACAATATTTGCAATTTTTTTTTTATTTTTTTTTTTAAGGGGGTGACCCCTTTTCCCAAATAAGGAAGGGAAGCAGCAATGGTTTGGGACTTTCCTTGTTTAACAACTGCATAAAAGAGCTAAAAAATACATGACTATACTTTAATATCTCCAGAGTAGTATACACCAAGGTGGACTAAAGATACTATGATATCTTTACAGGATCATTACAGATATATTTACACCTCAGCTATCCTTGATTGCTTCAAACAGAGGTCAAGAAAAGCTGGGGGAAAATGGCTCGAAAATACACCTGACATATATTTCTTCTTTTTTTCCAAACAGAAAACAAAACAGTGAATAAACAAGAATGTATCCCACCTTACTGTGGAAATAATGGCAAAGGTTACTGTGTCTCAAGGGTAACACAAAACACACGCACATTATTTATCTCAGTTTGGTACTCTATACAATGAATTAACCAGGTACCACACAAGTTTCAGTCTGAAGCCCAAATTCAGTGAAGCATTTAATCATGAACAATCTCACTGGCTTCAGCGAGATACGTGTCCTTTATTTTGAGCAAATGATGCAAATCCTCTACTGAGTCAGATCCCAATGAAGAGCGGAAGAGCAGATGTTCTCCCACACAAAGTACTTGCTGAGCCTGGAGCACTTAATTATTAAGGTACCTTCCCCACCTCAATGCTGTGACAGAGTTTCTACAGATATGGTTTTAGTAGTATATTAACCAGTTGATCATCTCTTACCACTCTTGCATTCTTTTCTCAAGTTCTGGAAGTAAGAATTTACTGTGGAAGGCATTTATCGATGAAATATTAGAGAAGATTTTGTTAACCACTTCAGCTGGAAATGAACCTCTGTTGGCTTCCTCAAGGAGTCTGGAGTAGAACACCTGCAATACAAAAAAAGAGTCCCCAAGCCCATGAGCCTAATATCTTTAATAAATTATTAAAGACCTATGCCTCCCCCTCCTTCAAGCAGGGTAATATTCATGTTTCAATAGTACGGACAGGCAATGACAAACTCATCTGTTGTCCTCTCATCAGAAGTTAAAAGCTTCTCCTCCCCTTACACTCCACTTTTTTTCTCCTGAGCCAGGAAAGCACTGCAGGCAGACCAGACACAAGGAAAGCCAAACTGAAGTAGTGCCATTTTGGATCAGCTCCAGGCATCCTGTCTGTTTCAACAGCTAGATCATCTCAGCTTTCCCTATCTTCCTGTCGTATTTTCCATTCCACTCTAGCTTTTTTTCAGTGAGCATGATGTCTGATCACTATTAGCCCAACCATGCTCCTTGCATGCTGTGCCCCCTTATCCTTTTGAAATCAAAGTAATTGGCAGACGATGAATGGTCTCTGCATTCCATTTGAAGCACAAAAGGGTCCCAGTTCTGGCTGGACTCTATTGTAGTCATGCAGCCACAAAATGCGTGCAGCTGTTAGTCTGCACATCACATAAAGTGTGCTTATGGGGAGCCATGGTCCCTCTGTCCTCCTCTCTTATGCTAGAACAGTGTGCATCTCCCTAGAAAGGGCTTCACAAGTCTTTAAAAGAAGAAAAGAGTCTGAAGACAGGAGCTGTGGTAATCCCACCTGAGATAGCATGTCTTAAAAGGAGAAAAAGCTGTACACTTTCACATACACTTTAAAACAATGTGACTTTGCTGCATCCCCAAGAGGACAGTTAGTTAATTTTGAGAAACTTCTTTGAATGTTACATAACTTTTAAATCTAGTTTAGAAAGAGAACAGTCCATTCCCAGTCTGCTGCCTTCCTCTCATTAGCACCAGTTGAGCAGCTGCACTTGAAACTGGTTTTTCAGAACTCTGCCCAGTTAATATTTGGAAAACAGGCATAAGAGTAATACACTTGTGGTTTAAATCAAGGAAAATAATTGTACCTTACCCATCAGAAAACCTATGATTGAAATAAATATTTTCCATATTTTTTTTAAACTTCTCTACATCAAAGGTGGTGCTTGTTTGGTTCCCCCCACCCTGGTATTTTATTTTTTAACACACATTATACCCATGTCAATGTGTAAATCCACTTTCATGAGGAAAATTACTTAGATTCCCAAGCAGTCTGAACAATTAAGGCACTAGTTGAGACTTTTTACCTTTCATCAACTCTTTCTCAAGACTTACAGATTAGACCTGAGAAATTTAAACAGCAATGTCCAAGAAAAGTGTCATGGCAATGCCTAGCTATAGGTATCCAGGTAAAATGGGTATAGGTGTTATGTAAGAAAGTAATCAAGGTTTAAAAAGGAAAATACACAAGAACTACAGACTTCCACAATTAAGAAAACTCAGTTGGATCCTACAGAGCACAAAAGAATAATCCTCCCTGCAAAAAGAGTAATTTGTGTTCACTTCAATAGGGCTTAGTCCAAACATATAGCAGGAAAACAGGGAAAATGCAGTTTAGAATGGGCATCATCCTAGGTTCTTTGGCACTAAAGAAAAATTCTTTTCAGCTATTTGAAAGATTTAGTAATTTTCTAGTGGGGTGGTGGTTTCAATATTAGGAAATAATACCCTTCTTGTCCATATCATGGAAATGAGTGAACACAACATTATCCATCCCCTTTCTTGGATTAGCTGCCCTTGTGAGGTTTGCACTACCAGTGCTTATGGGGGCACCTGTGCTCACAGAATCTATTGCATTACTATCCACAAAATTCCAATACTTTTAAACACATAGTGTTCTTTAAACAGAAATATAGGCAAGTTGTGTGACAAAAGCAAATGACCGACTAAAACAGTCAGCAAAATGTGAAAAACATACCACCTCTTGTGTAATTTATATACAGGCTTATGGATAGTCACCCAAGTGAATACAAGGCAAGGCAATAAAAACAAATTC